GGGATCCATCGCCACCTCATCGCCACCAAACACATAGCCGACGTAGTCGACCTTGGGAACATCCCATTCGCACTTCTCAGGCTTCAGGAACAGATCGTTGTCCTGAAGGCGACGAAGAACCTCACGTGTGACCTTTTCATGCTCCTCTTTGTTGGTGGAGAAGATGAGGATGTCATCCAGGTACACGAGGATCTTGCCGCCGACGATGAGATCGTGGAAGATCTCATTCATCATGGCCTGGAAGGTCGCGGGGGAATTAGTGAGACCAAAGAACATCACCAGGGGTTCGTATAGTCCCCGGTTAGTCACAAAGGCTGCCTTCCATTCATCGCCGGCTTTGATCCGGACGTTGTTGTATCCCCATCTAACATCGAACTTCGTGAAGAGCGTGGCACCACGGAGCTTATCCACCATTTCGGCGATCAGTGGCAAGGGGTAGCGATTTTTGACCGTGATCGCGTTCAATCAGCGGTAGTCCTGTACGGGTCGAAGCGTCCCTTCCTTCTTTTTGATGAAGAAGAAGGGGGATGAAATGGGCGACTTCGATTCCCGTATATAGCCTTTCGCTAACTGCTCCTTTAGGAACTTGTCGAGTTCCTCCTGCTCATTGTTCGACAGGGGATACACCTTCGAGTGGAACATCGAATAGCCGGGCACTACTTCCATCATGTGATCATAAGGCTTCCTTTCGGGTAGCCGTTCTGATGCTTCTTTGGGGAAGACATTCAGGAACTCGTGGTATTGTTTAGGTACCGACTCCTCGGCGGTCTTGACGACCTTCTTTTTGATCTCCTCCTCAGCGAACAGCTGGGAGTACGTATGCCCTGCTGCGATGAACAGCTGAGGGGCGCCGGGAAGCGTGATACCTTGCTCCCAGGCTTCGATCAAATCGGCCTCATCCCACTCTACTTCCGTTGGATCTTCTTCGGGTTCGAAGTCCGGGAGTACCTTACTCCGGCAAGCGCCTATAACCGACCGTTTGGACTTCGGCGAACGCCTGCGCGCCGTGGGCCTGACCCCCGTATCACGCGCAGTCGCTGCTTGCTCCATCCAGCCAGTTCTTCTGGCACTGCACGTTTCAGGGCATCGTGACAACTTGAGGGAGCCTTTCTCCCAATCGATCTCGGGGTTGTGCTCGCGTAGCCAATCCAACCCAATGATCACATCCTCTGGACCGATGTCCGTGACCGTAAACACCGTCTTCTCGACGTGTTCTCCTATCTGCATCTGTAGCACTGCTACTTCCGAGATGCTTCCATCCTTGTTAAGGGTGCCGTTGATATTGTATAGCGGAATCGGTTCTTTTAGCTTCCGTGTCTGCACCTTATTCTCTACAATGAATCGCTTGTTGATAAACTTCGTGGTGGCTCCGCTGTCCACCATAGTGATTATGTCCTTGTGCCGTCTTTTTCCTTGGAGGCGCACCGGGATGTGGAAATGCTGGGACCCGTGGTCCAACTCGTACACATTTGCGGTCGCCAATACATTGTACAGATTATTACTACGTGGCCCGACGCGTGCGGCACGAAGTGCGGACCGGATCAAAAAGACTCCTCCTTCATCGCCCGATAGTGTTCGAGCTCCTCGCACATTGACTTCATCTGTGCTATCAAGTCCGCCAGCTCGAAACTTTCCGATTTCGCTGAAGCGGCGCTTGTACTTGCCGAGGATGAAGCGACAGGGGCGCTTGTCGCCACCTGGGTGGATCCCGAGGCAACCGTAGCCCGCGCGTTGGCGCGTTTTGTGTAAGGCTTGTCCTTACAATTGGGGCACTCGAATTGTCGGTACCCTTGCTTCCCACAGCCAAAACAACTGCCCGGGAAGTTTCCTTTTCCGACGGCCGCATTGATGCTGGCCGAAGCTGCATGCGACTGGGGTGCACCACCACGTGCCCCTCCGCGTCCTCGATCTCGGGCCGAGAAGAAGTTGTTCAACTCAGGTCGACGGGCCTGGCTGATGTCGAGGATCTGTTCGACCTCAGTGGCGCGCTTCTTAGCTTCTTGCCACATGGTGAAGGTTTCGAACTCGATCTTGCGGTAGACGCGGGAGGGGATGCCGCTCAGGTACTTGTCGCGTAGTTCCAGGTCCCCATACCCGGAACGGTCCGCCGGACCCTT